GAGGAGGAGGAGGAGGAGGAGACGGATGCTGATGATGATGATGATGATGATGGTGATGATGATGATGCTGATGATGATGATGATGATGATGCTGATGATGATGATGATGAGGAGGAGGAGGAGGAGGAGGCGGGGGATGAAGAGGAGGAGGAGGAGGAAGATGAGGAGGAGAAGGAGGATGGAGGAGGAGGCGGAAGGTGATGATGAGGATGAGGATGAGGACGAGGATGAGGATGAGGATGCTGATGCTGATGATGATGATGATGATGATGATGATGATGATAATGATGATGATGATGATGATGATGCTGTTGATGATGATGATGATGCTGATGCTGATGATGATGATGATGATGCTGCTGATGATGCTGATGATGAGGATGATGATGAGGATGATGCTGATGATGATTATGATGATGCTGATGATGATGATGATGCTGCTGATGATGCTGATGCTGATGATGATGCTGATGCTGATGCTGATGATGATGATGATGATGATGATGATGATGATGATGATGATGCTGATGCTGAGGAGGAGGAGCAGGAGGAGGAGGAGTAGGAGGAGGAGGGAGGAGGATGGTCGGAGGGAGGGATGGATGGATGGAGGGAGGGACGGAGTGAGCGGGAGGATGAGGCGGGAGTGAGGGAGATGGAGATGGAGAGGGAGAGGGAGAGGGAGAGGGATACGGAGGGTGCTGCTGATGCTGATGTTCATGTTGCTGATGATGCTGGTGATGATGCTGATACTGATGATGCTGATGCTGCTGATGATGCTGAAGCTGCTGCTGCTGATGAGGATGATGCTGAGTGCGATGCTGATACCGATGATGATGCTGATGATGCTGATGATGCTGATGATGCTGATACTGCTGCTGCTGATGTTGATACTGATGATGATGCTGATGAGGATGAAGCTGCTGCTGATGATGCTGTTGTTGATGATGATGATGACGATGCAGCTGATGCTGTCGATGCTGATGACGATGATGGCGTTGACGCTGCTGATGATGCTGATGTTGCGGATGCTGATGCTGATGGTGGTAATACTGCTGACGCTGATGACGATGATGACGATGCTGATGTTGACGCTGTTGTTGATGACGAGGATGCAGATGATGATGCGTATGCTACTGGTGATGAGGATGATGATGCTGATGGTGCTGATGATGATGCTGGTGATGGTGATGTTGATGACGATGATGATGCCGATGCTGCTGATGCAGTTGGTAATTGTGATGATGATGCTATTGATGAGGATGCTGTTGACTCTGATGATGATGCTGATGCTGATGCTGCTGATGATGAAGGTGCTGCTGCTGATGCTGATGACGCTGATGATGTTGCTGATGCGGCTGCTGCTGCTGCTGATGGTAATACTGATGCTGATGCTGATGATGATGATGATGCTGATGATGATGCTGATGATGCTGCTGACGATGATGCTGATGCCGATGCTGATGCTGACGATGATGATGACGATGACGATGACGAAGATGATGTTTCTGATGCTGCTGATGATGCTGCTGCTGATGATGCTGCTGATGGTGATCATGACGATGATGATGATGAGGATGATGATGAGGAGGAGGAGGATGAGGATGAGGAGGAGGAGGAGGAGGAGGAGGAGGAGGAGGAGGACGAGGACGAGGATGCGGAGGGGGCGGATGAGGAGGAGGAGGCGGAGGAGGAAGAGGAGGAGGATAGGAGGAGGATGAGGAGGAGGAAGATGATGATGAGGATGATGATGATGATGATGCTGCTGCTGCTGCTGCTAATGCTGCTGCTGCTGATGATGATGATGATGCTGATATGCTGCTGCTGATGATGATGCTGATGCTGATGATGATGATCCTGCTGCTGCTGCTGCTGATGATGATGTGATGATGATGCTGAATGATGATGATGATGAGGATGATGATGAGGATGCTGATGATGCTGATGGATGATGATGATGATTGATGATGATGATGATGATGATGATGATGATGATGATGCTGATGATGATGATGATGATGATGATGATGATGATGATGATGATGATGATGATGATGATGATGATGATGATGATGATGATGATGATGATGATGATGATGATGATGATGATGATGATGATGATGATGATGATGATGATGATGATGATGATGATGATGATGAGGATGAGGATGAGGATGATGAGGAGGAGGCGATAGGGAGGAGGAGGAGGAGGAGGAGGAGGAGGTGGAGGAGGAGGAAGAGGAGTGAGGGGTCTTTCGAGTGATGTGAGGCATCGTAGATGTGGATGGGGTTTCGCAGTCTGGTTGAACGGGGGTGTGCAGGGGACCGCCTGGGGATCGATCCTGGGAAGGCGCCAGACGGTGCCCCTTGCCGAGCTGGAAGGCCTAACCCGGGCCCTGCGTCAAACCTCAGGGCCTGGGTTTTTTGTGGTCGATTGTGCCTACGTTTTAAACGCGATCCAAGATGGCCCAGGTGATTTCTCTCCCCTACATGCTTCAGCGTGGGCCCGTTTCTGGCACGAGTTTCACCAGAGGCCTGGAGAGACCACCTTTCGTAAGATCAAGCGTCACCTCACTGAGGCTGACATCGGCCGCTCAGTGGGGGAAGCTGAGTTTCGAGTGAACGAAGCGGCCGATCTTGCGGCCAAGCGTGGGGCAGCCTTGGCCAGTCTTCCCCAGGACGTTTTGGCCGAGGTTGCCCGGGTTGACGATTTGCCCCCCCCTCCCCCCCCCGTGCCCTGTACCACTTGCTTGTTGTTGGCCTCGAGGAGGCCTAAGCTCGGGATAAGGATGCTCAGGCGCCAGGGGCCTTAACATCTGGAGATTTACTTGCTTCTTAGCGGGCCCTACAGGATGAGAGGTGATGATGATGGTGATGATGATGATGCTGATGATGATGATGATGATGATGATGATGATGATGATGATGATGATGATGATGATGATGATGATGATGATGATGATGATGATGATGATGTGATGATGCTGATGATGCTGATGCTGATGCTGATGCTGATGCTGATGCTGATGCTGACTGCTGCTGCTGATGATGATGGATGATGATGTGATGATGATGATGATGGGAGGAGGAGGAGGGGAGGAGGAGGAGGAGGAGGAGGAGGAGGAGGAGGAGGAGGAGGAGGAGGAGGAGGAGGGGAGGGGGAAGGAGGAGGAGGAGGCGGAGGAGGAGCAGGAGGAGGAGCAGGAGGAGGCGGAGGAGGAGGAGAGGAGGAGGAGCGGAGGAGGAGGCGGAGGAGGAGGAGGAGGAGGGGGAGGAGGAGGAGGCGGAGGAGGAGCAGGAGGAGGAGGAGGAGGAGGAGGAGGAGGAGGAGGAGGAGGATGAGGAGGAGGAGGAGGACGTCGCCATCTAGTTGAAGGCTGGTCCCTGGGAGCGCGCTCTGGGATCCAGGGCCAGTTTCCCTCGGGGCTCTTTTTCCTGCATGCCAAGCCCTGTGCGACCGAGGCGGGGAGGGAACGAATGGTGACGAAGACCGACAGCATCGGGCGACGAAGTCTATACATGTCCACTGCTCCCTGGCCAGGCTCACCCTAAACCCCAGGGTTGTGTATACGCCCTCCTGGCCGAGCCGGGAGGGTGTGGCGTATACGCAGCTCCTGGGTTCAGGTGGGCCTGGCCAGGGAGCAGTGGATATATATTTATATATATAATATATATATATATATATTGTTTCGCCCTACAGCAGTTCCTGCCCATTTGGGGCAGGACGCGCCGTCGGGGTCGCCGCGGGCGTTGTCCATTCGTGACGAGCGTTGCCTCCCTAAGAGCGGCCGCGGCCGCTTCTATGCAGTCCTCTTCTCGTTCAAGCCGTCGCCACCGTCGCCGCCGCGAGAGGCCTGAGGAGCACGGGGCGAAGGCAGAGAGCTCTGCCCTGCGCGTCTGTGGGGTCGGCGGGCTCCTTTGAGATCTGTTTGTTCAGCCTCTGGCGCGTAACGGTCGTTACCCAGGCCAAGCTCCCCCCCTCCGCGTAATGGTAGCGATCGTTCGTAGCAGATGGGGGGGGGGCTGGAGACTCTCCCACATGCTGGTGCTCGCGCGCGTTCCATAGCGATCGCAGCGCCCCCCCGCTCCGACGTGCCCCACGCCCCGCCCAGGCGTTACCATTACCCGGCGCCCCCCCCCCCCCGGGTAACGACCGATATCGGAAACAATCGACAAACAGCGTTTGTCTTCCCTCATGGCCGTCTCCTCTTGCGGGACCCTGGCCCCGTTGGTCTGGCCAGCCCCGCGCAGGCGCCGCCGCCGCCGCCGCCGCCGCCGCCGCCGCCGCCGCCGCCGCCGCCGCCGTCGTCGTCGTCGTCGTCGTCGTCGTCGTCGTCGTCGTCGTCGTCGTCGTCGTCGTCGTCGTCGTCGTCGTCGTCGTCGTCGCTGTCGTCGTCATCGTCTTCGTCGTGGTCGTCGTCGTCGTTTTCGTCGCCCCTGAGATCCTGGCGCCGCTGTCGCTGACGCTGCAGCGATCCACCTACCGGATGCTGCTCTACACGCGTCTGTCCGAGGAGGGGCGGCTGCTGCCGGCGGACCAGCAGTGCCCTGCGTGCGGGCTCACGGCGCCCCCTGTCGTCCTGCTGCTCTGTCCGCTGCGACTGGGTGTCGTGGCCTCTCCGCTCTGCCATTGCTGCCTCTCTCTCTCTGCTCTCCCTGGCCTTTCCCTCCCCCTCCTTCTCTATATATTGCATCACCTTCCATCTCCCTTCCTTTTTTCATTTTTGTTCTCTCTCTCTCTCTCTCCCTTCTCGCTCTCTCTCTCTCTCTCTTTGTTCTCTCTGTCTCTCTTTCTCTCTCTCTCTGCCTCCGCCCTCTCTGTCTGCATGTTTTGTTTATCGTTTTCTCTGGCGCATGTGTTAATTTATGTACGTATGTACGTTTTTTTTTTTTTTTTTTTTTTTTTTTTTTTTTTTTTTTTTTTTTTTTTTTTTATTTATTATTCTGGTTGTTTGTTTGTTTGGTGGGTGGTTTGTCTGATCTCTCTCTCTCTCTGTTTCTTCCCCTCCCCTCCATCCATTCCTCCCTCTCTCCCTGCGGGCACCCTCTCCCCCTCGCTCTCTCTCTCTCTCTCCCTCTCTCCTCCCCGCGGCCACTGTTGCCGCCCCTTCCCGCCGTCCCTGCGTTCCAGCCCGACGCGCTGGCCGTGGAGTGGCGTCTGGGCCTTCGCCTCCTCCTCCTCCTCCTCCTCCTCCTCCTCCTCATCCCCCTTCTCCTCCTCCTCCTCCTCCTCCTGCTCCTCCTCCTCCTCCTCCTCCTCCTCCTCCTCCTCCTCCTCCTCCTCTGGCGGGGTGTGCCTCCCGGAGGCCCGCTCCCACCGCGGGGAGGGCGGCGTGCCAACGCCGCCTGCTGCCCCCCGCGCCCTCACCGCTCCAGACCGCAGACCTGGTTGTAAAGGATGTAGTTGTGCTTGTCATTCAAGATACTTTGAACTCCATTCAAAAAGAGTACAAGCCATCCTCAGCCAAAAATTGCACACTGAATTCATCACGGGGCGTCCCAGGACACGACGTACTATACGATGCAGTTGCTCAACAACGAATACTCGTTCAGGATTCCCATCTCATCCACAAAATTCGAGCAACCATATCCAAAAGAGTACACCCAAAATGTCGGCGACGTGCCGACCGTGGTGCCCTGGGACATCGTGCCCCCTCCCCGGGCCCGAACGTTAGCCCAGGCTCCAAAAGGAGGGGGGGCCGAGCGCCCCGAGGGGGCTACCTGGCCTGCTTCTTCAACCAGCCCCAGAGGGCTGCCTCAGAGTCCGCCTGTGGTACCATCTTAGACATTTCCATAGAAACCACATTCCTCTTCTGCACACCCGTGACCAGTTTGTATACAGTGAGTTTGTGCTTGTCAGTACAGAAATCGCTCATGATCCACTCGAACTTCCACGTACGCTTTTCTTTCGGAGAATTGAACTTTGCTTTGAATACAGCTGCGATAATGTCCCTCTCGGTAGCTGGCAATCCACGAAGTTCTTTGGCCAATTTTGCAGTCTCAACATGCTCATCCTTGCACTCTTGTTCCAGTAAAGCCATCGCCGAAGTGAACGCATATGTTTGTTTCCGATTGCAGCCACTCGGATGGTCTGGGAACTCTTTCTTCTTCTTCCGTTCGTCTGTCACCGCAGGTTTGTCATCTACCCATTTTTGCAGTAGGTGTACCATGGTCATTTTGATCGTCTCGGTCTTGAACAATGCTACCAAATATTTAGCGATAATCATCTGTTTGGCTTCACCTTTGAACATAAGATAATCCCTTGATAAGTAACGAAGTACATCAGCATCTCCACACGTTTTTGGATCACTCTTCTGCTTCTTTCTCTCCACTGTTCCGCCCTGCTGTACTCTCGTACGCGCCTGCTGTACGTCAGCCATGATATCCGCCATCAACTTTGACTCCAGTACTTTGGTAATGCACAACTATAACAGATAACTCACGATGATATTCAGTAACTACTTGAGCAACAAACACATACACGGCCCCAAAATACATGCTGGAGTGGCGGGAACACTCGCACCACTCCCCACAAGGTCACAGTTTAGCTGCATCCTCTGCCGTGTTGTGCCACCTTTCTTTATTCAATGGTAATCCTGCTAGCTCTCGTCTGTGTGCACAGTTTTTCTCATGCTGCACCGATCCTCTCTTCGTTTGAAACAATGTCCCACAATGAACACAAGCCACACTTCGATCTTTCTGCGTACTCAAACAATACCGTGTGCGTGCTACCCACATATCATACGGCATGTGAAGACATGCTCGCTCGTGCGCGGCCGTCTTTGTCATATTCATAAACGGTTCTTTACACCACTGGCATTTCAAAGGATCCGCACCTGGATCTCTGGGGGGCCGCTGAAGCCCTTGGATAGCCGTCGGAATACACCCTCTCCGAGCTAGAATAAGCTCCGCCACACTCCAATCATCATCATTCAACGCACTGCGACACCTCGTACACTTTGAACACAACGCACATCCCCAATCCTGATACTTTCCACCAAAACAACACCCATATTCACGACATCTAAAACACGTTGAGCACACTCTACAGTTCTTGCCCCTACACTGTCTTTGGAAGCTGGCCTCTGGAATCGGGGCCTCGCACAACGTCTCAGCGATAATCTTTCGTCCCTCCGGTGTGCTCCAGCCCCCCGATGGATAAATCGACTTGTAGGCCCTCGTCCTTCCTCCTTTCCTAAACTTCGTTTTCTGCTTCTCCAATCTTTTCTTCCTCGCCTCCTCCACCTTCTCCTTAAAGTTAGAGCTGGACCCCTTGATACTAGTCTCCGCCTCCTCCCTCTTCCTCTTGAGCGTATGTCGGATACTCATCGGCACCCTCTCCTGTGGTCCCATATGCTTGGTTTGGCCCTTCCGAAACTTTCCACGAGGTATATGATCCTCTCCTCCTCTCTCGAGCGGTCGATATCCAGCGGGCCGAGCTTGTTTGCCTCGAATACGACGAGCCCGAACATCCCTGGCACCTCCAGAAGGGACCTCGACCTCAATATACTTCTGCTTGCCCAGCAGACGTCTCTTGCCAGCGGGGGAGGGAGCTGGCAATGTCACCGATGCACTGGCCATTGCCGAAATACATGCACGAATACGAGCCAGTCGGGCCTCTTCGGCCTCCTCATGCGATTGACCTACGTCTTGTGCTGCACCCTGCCACCCTCCTCCACCCACTCCGATCAAGGCCTCCTTTTTCTCCTCTCTCATGCGGCGTCCAGCAGCTGCTTTGTGGCGCTGTTCTGAATTCCTCGACCTGCAGGGCAAAATGTGCGCGGCCAACTGCCGCGAATGCCACATGACCAGGATCCCGTCCTGCGCACAGTGCGGGCACACAGCCTGGCCATTCGCATCAAACGTTACTCCCGTGATGGCTGTGAGTCTAGCCTGCTGGCGGGCCAAAGTCTGATCGTGTTTACCTCCAGGGGCGTGTTTGACTTTCCAGCAATGTGATCTTTGGCCCGCTCAGCTTTGACCCACTTACGAACAACTGCTCGCCACAGTACTCGTTGCTCTGCTATGCGCTGCCAACTCTGCTCCCTCTCCTTCCTTGTACCTCCTCCCAATTCCGATATCACCATCGCCTCCTCCACCCTGTTGGCATACTGGGCCCTCGTGGAAGGCCTCACCGTTCCCGACTTGTCCCGATCGCATTCACGAAACTCCGAAAGCCATCCAAATAGAACCTGTCGTTCAATACGATGTTGGGGGAGACGAACGATATGTCCTAGAAACTGAAGTTGCCGTTGTCCTATGTATATCCGAATCGTGTCTAACCCATATGTAGCCCTGAGATCTTGCATAGTCAATTTGGCATCGTGCATTTCCCGAATCTTCTGTCCACTGATCCCTCGAACGACCCTATTCCAGAATATTTCATATGCGTGTAACTGCGCGGCCGTAAAGCTTCGAGCTTCACATCCGTAGAGCAACGCTGCCAGCACAGTAGCTTTGACCAGCCTGCCTAAAGTCAAAGGCGCCAGTCCCCAGCGCGGTATCTGTCGATATACTTTTCTCCACAATACTTGCACGGGAGAGCCTCTCTTTGTTGTCTCTGTCGTGCTTGCCATTCGCCTGTACCCAGGCACCGAGAAAACGAACTGCCGATGAGTACAACTCTGCTTCCGCCTCCTCCACCTCCCCCGTGTTTATCCTCTCGTACTTCTCCGGTGCCACCTCCTGCCCCCAAGCTCTCAAAGTCTCTTCTAAAAGGTGCTCCGCTGCTTCGCGGTCAGTCGCACTGATGATCATCTTAGTGTCATCCGCGAAAAGGAGCTCCAGCAACCTTACCGTGTCTCCGAGACCCGACGGCTTAGGATTCTTTCTTCCTCCACACTCCTTGAGTCTCCTCCCCTCCTTAGATTCCACCCCCACTCCTGCATCAGGAAACTGAGCCCGAGCCTGTACAGAGAAGTTGTGCATAGTGTGTGCATGATAAAGACTGAACTCGCCAGGGCTGCTGGGGCATCCTTCGCGGAGACCGCGAAGTAAAAAGAACGGTTCGCTCTCGCCGCCTGCAGTTCTGATGGTGTACTCCGTCATCTGATGTAGTCCCAGCATCACCCTCATACATCTGGCTGGAGTTCCACTACGCTCCAATACTTTTTCCATCGCTGGTCTCACTATTCTCGGATATGCCTTTCGAACATCTGCCATAATTACTGCCAAATTCTTTTTTGGGGTCGTCCAGGATTCAAGTGGTTTAGCTTCCGCCAGTAGCTCCAATACCACTCTAAGAATAAATATCGGTCCCATCGTAGATCTGTATTGCCTAAATCCCCATTGCGTCTCAGGCCATAACCCATTGGACTCACAATGATTTCTTAATCTCGTCGCAATAATTTTAGCCACGATTCTACTTATGATCGCAATCAACCAGATGCACCGATAATTAGCAACCTTTGTTCTGTCTCCTTTTTTGTGTAGTAGGACTCCCACCGCTCTGTTGACCGATCTCTCCCAATTCTCAGGTTCTTGCCTCCATATCCCTCGAATAAGACGAACAATCTCTATCAAAAGCTTGTCACCTCCCCATTTTATCATCGATATCGATACCTCA